TAAATCTAAATGCTAAATCTAAATCTAAATGTTAAATCTAAATTTAAATGCTAAATCTAAATGTTAAATCTAAATGCTAAATCTAAATCTAAATGTTAAATCCAGACTATCGCAGGGCTGACACATAGAGACAAACAACCATTCACACTCACATTCACACCTACGGACAATTTAGAGTTATCAATTAACCTATACCCCAATCTGCATGTCTTTGGACTGTGGGAGGAAGCTGGAGTGCCTGGAGAGAACTGACACGGGGAGAACATGCAAACTCCGCACAGAAGGGCTCCCACGCCCAGGATCGAACCGGCAACCCTCTTGCTGTGAGGCGAGAGTGCTAACCACCACACCACCGTGCCGCCCAATGTCTTATTTTGTTGTTGGTTAATCATTTCATCATCTCGGGGGAAGAAACTTTGTATCTCTAAATCACAACTTTATCAGAAATTTATTTATTTCAACTTTTTTCCTCCCCGTTTGATTAATTCTTTCTTGTCTTGTTTATTCTCACAAAATTAAAAGTGATAATAATTCATAAATACTTCAGTGTTTTTCTGAACATCTACCAGGAGGGGGCAGCAGTCACAAGCTGCACTCAGCTGTCATGTACTCGAGTAAAAATACTCAGTTACAGTCAAAGTCCTGCACTGAAAATGTTCCTCCAGCAAGAGTTTGTTAGTTTAATCAGTAAAATAAAACTGTTATATCTTTATACATCATATGAGTTAAAGCTCATTAAAGTAACAGCAGGATGTTACTGGTTGTTTGTCTGATTTTAAACTGTTAACTAGTGATTATATAATTATGGATTAATCTGCTGATTATTTTCTCCATTAATCAGTTGATTGTAAAAATGGAAAAAAGATAATAATAATGAGCCCAGAGTGTCTCCTTCACTGTGACTGTCTCACCTCAACGTTTTTACTGACACGTCACAGTTATTATTGTCCTCCATATTTAACCTCAGCACATGTTTCACATATTAATAATATACACACACTTTATATTATAGTGTATGGACTCAGAGTGACGACTGGGAATGAGACAGACAGACAGGCAGACACACAGACACACTGACTGTCTCACGGACGGTGGGTGTGATCAGGTCACACACCGGCAGGGCCCGGTGGGGCGGGGCTGAGCTGGGCAGGGTCAGGTGTCTCCTTGTTGACGGTGTCGCACCGAGAGGAAACAGGCTCATGCTCATGTCGGGACTTTAATCACCGCTCGTGCTCAGACATGCACCGGGAGTACGTGCCGCTCAGTGTGTAGACTTTTTTTTTTTTTTCAGGTTAAACAACAAAACAGTGCATGTACTAACATTTTTGTAACGCTCGCACTGGTGCTACTGGATGTAATTTTCTGGTCGCACAGGAAATTATCCACTCGCAAATGCGACCAAAACACTTGCACTGTCGAGCCCTGTACAGTTCACAAAATTATTAATCAGAATAATGTTTATATGCATATGATATGTGATAGAATTCCTTTAAACCACCATAACATTACCACTCTGGATTGTTTTATGTTTGGTCCTGATTAGCTGAGGTCCATTTTACACTGCTGGTATACTACAGCTGATAGAACACCAATTAGAAAATTCTGTTCTGTCTATTTTGATTTGCCCCCAAACTTAGGAGATTTCCATGTCTCATTGTGTAACATTTAAATCTGCTGCATCAAGTTCAAAGTTTTTGAGCTGTAGACTGTGCAGCTGTCACCTTAGAAATAAACAGTGATAAAATAAATATATAAATGTGTTCCCCTAAAAGTTCACATGATTATTAATATTAATGCAAACAGGCCTCTCTCACCTTATTGAAAGCAACAGTGTTGCTCTTTACTGTAATATTTTTTAATATTCTTCAAAGGCAGAACTAGGTGACATGCAATTGATCAATTTTGAGAGTCAAATAAAGTGCTTTTGAAGTCATTTAATGTGAACACGCACAGGGCCTTAAGCAGAGGGCTGGGTTAAAACAGATAGTTGTGGTACCTGTTGTCCCTGACTGAGGCTTTAGAAATTGTCAAGCCAGCTCAGACAAAGAGAGCCTGGCTCTGTTGATCTGTTGAGCTTTGTGGTACAGCCTTATGGGTTGAATTTCAGTCCCAGTCCGCCCCTGTTTATGTATGTGCACCTGCAACCCAAAGGCAAGATGACACACAACATAGCGGGGACACAACAACAGTGATTTACTGCGGTCTTGCACACTGGTCCAACAGAACTGTTGGAATCTAAGCCTCACCAAGAGGTACCATTGTTGGGATCATGCCTTAACACTGGCCTGACCTCGTAATAGATCTCCAATTAAAGTATCAAAATGGCTATCAGAAATAATTAATAATTATTAATAACAATTATTAATTATGTTAAATAATGTAACTTAATTTACATTAAATCACCTTGTGGGGCACCATTCCCGAAAAGGGAAAACTGATGGCCAGTTAATGTTATCAGTCTCATAAAGTTCAGTAAGCTATCAATTTGGAATTTTGATTAATGATTAAATTAAAACTCATAACCAAAATGAATAGTAAAGCCTGAAGGATTTCGAAGAATAACAATCACAACAATAACTCAATAAACAGTATTAGGTCACAGCTGACAAAGTTAAGCAGTTTTGCTTAGCCTGTACGACTGCAATAATGCTAAGCCCAGTTGTTCCGTTACCAATCCTTGAATGGATGGAGGGAGGAGTCGCTTTGTGGTGTGCTGCTTTTGTTAGCTGGCAGATGAAGGCTGGAGAGAGTTGTGGTTCCAGAAGCTGTGCCCTTGCTCCGGAAGGTGCAGATCCGAGGAGGCCTGTCGCTCAGTTTCCTGGCAGAGTTAGACGTCCTGGTGCTAACTCAACTTGGGTCTCCTTGTTGCTAGAAAGTTAGTTACAAACCTTGTGTTTGGCACACTAATTTTTCTGGTGTCCAGGTTGTGCTCCTGCTGTGGGCATGCAGATCGTGATCCAGGAGAAAGAGACAAAGAGAGTCTTTGGAGCAAGAGCTGATCAGTGGCTCAAGGGAAAGAGCAGCAAGTGCCCCCTTCAGTGGTTCAGGGGCAAGAGCCGGTGTCTGAGCGGGTCAGTGGCTCAGGACAAAGAGCACAGAGAGAGTGAAGAGAGCAGAACTTCTCCAAAGTTTCCTTGGTGACATCACAGAGTGACATGTCATTATGTTAGCAGTGGCCAATCAGGTTTGAAAACTGATCTCTCACTTAGGTGTGAAAATGAGGCACCCTGTGGAGATGAGTCCCAAACAGCTATCCTTTGTTTGAAGAACATGCGGTCTCTGCTACCATTTCAAATGGCAAGATGCAGAGGAGGAAGCCTTCACAAGTCCAGTTTAGATTTTAACAAATGACAAATCATCTGTGGTCCAGTGAATCCCAACAGAACTCAGTACCACAAAATCACCAGCAACACAGCTCAGTGACACAAACACTCAACCCTTGAATGTAAACAGCGACTTGCTATACAACACAGCTGCTTACATGAGCCAAAAAAGCTAGAACAGCCTCCTAACCACACTCGTCCATGTCTCCCAAAAAACTAAATAACATAGCAAAGTAGAACACAGAGCACACAACCAAAACCAGCACACAGCTGAATCAAATCGTCTAATCAGCATGTGCCTGCATCTGCCACAGGCACAAACAAACTTACCGGCAAAATAACCTGAATAGTCAAGCCCTTCAATGTCCCGAGGAAGGAACACAACCAAAGTGGGCAAAATCACCACAAAGCCTAGATCTCATATTACAACCATGGTGAGTTTGATCCCGGATGAGCCCCCACTCGTTACAATCCGGCTCAAAGGCTGCAACAGTCTTGTTTATGTGACTTGTTTACATGTGTATGCCTCCTCTGTGTTTAGGCCTATTTGTTTCTACTAACAGTCACTAGCTAAATTTGAGTGAATACACCTGTAGATTGGGGAAGCTTTGGCTCAGAAGATAGAGCAGGCCATCTGCTGATAGGAAGATTGGTACTTAAGTTCCCCCTTTCTCCAGTCGACATGCTGAAGCATCCTGTGCCATCGATGGGTGAGTAAGCGCGGTCACCAGTGTTGGTGCTGTGCAAGTCCATTAAATATTTTCAAACAGCTCTGTCAACACAGTACAGAGTTCCCCACTTATGAGTCTGCAGCACTATGGCAGCACAGAGGGTAGCCAAACACCATCCATCTGAAAACACTACACACACTGCCCACACATCCATACAAAATTGGCAAAGTTTTCATACCACTACCCATATTCGTATTTTTAAAGCTTGTAGCAGGTACTTTTCATGCTAGCAATAGTCTATTTCTGTGGCACCGGGTAGAGAAAGGCTGGCAGTCAATCACTGGGTCAGACGTCTGGCAGCCTGCTTCATTAATTTTGAGGTTGCATGGTTTCATTTAAAGTGGGTTAAAAACATATTTCAGCGCCTCCATCTCTGCACTAGATAAGTTTATTTAGAAAATCAATGGATGGGTGAATTTAGGATGCACTTATACACCAAGTTAGACACTGGGATTAGGAAGAATCAATTTTGGTACATTATAGTTGGGTATGTTACAGGAGCTGCTGACAAGTGACTTGGCTCCTTTTATGCTCTTTAGAAGCAGCATTATGATGAACGTTTTCGTGATAACATGGAACGTCTGGATGAAAACTGGTAATTAAGATACCAGTGTTTGGTCGGAATTCTAAGCAAAATGTAATTTCATTTTCCTAGAAAAAATACCTGCACTTATGTTCTTGTGCGTCCATGTGCACTTTTGTTTTTGTGTTCTCATCCTATGTACTGAAACAAACATGCCATGTTTTATGTTACCACATGTCTGTCGTAGCAAAACATGCCCTTGAAATGTCATCATTACAGTAATATTGGCCTATTATACATGGCTGGGTTACTAATTAACCCAATAATACTAAATGCCAATTACTAATTTAGAGGGCCCTTGGGCAAAAATTAGTTGTTATTGCAGTATTAAAGGTCTTGGGACTAGATTTTAACTCAGAGTCCCTCTACTATAATGCAGGACCTGCTTAATATTATATGATAGATAGACATTTCCAAATGTATTTGGGATGAATCAAATTACTAAAACCAATTGACATGAAGTGAGCATACCCCTCAGTCATCCAGCATTGCAACTGTATAGTATTTTACGTAATATAATGTCTTTTTTTAAGTATTTCTTTTTCTGCAACACTTTGGCAAATGGCCTATGCAAACAAGCAGTAGAGCTTTGAGTTTATAGGATTTTCTTAATGTTACAAATAAATGCCCAGCAACAACACGTCCATGCCACAAACCGATGGATCATGCCACAATTGTGACATTTGATTTGAACTGCTAGCAATAATAACCTGTATTCAGTGCAATAAAGAAAGTCTTATGCTACCACAGATCCAGACGGCTGTATCTGCCCCCACTATACTCCCATCTTAGCCCCCAGCTTACCTTTACTGCAAAGAAAACATGGGCTCCATTGACCAACAGATCCTGATCACCTGAGCAGAGATAAGCACAGCAGTCGATCAGTATTAGAGCCTGCAAACAGGGGACAGGTAGTTGTGTTTTTATCCTTGTTAAACCTAAATTTGAGCTTCATGATCAATGAAATTTGACATTACACAAGATTTGTAACTGCCCTCCTTAGGTCGGCCACAAGCCAGTTACAATTATGATACTGTGCCTGCTCCCGCTCCTGCTGTGTCCCGCTCAGCCCATCCCACACACTTTAGTGTGGTAGAATTCTTTATTTGTAATTTTGTGCCACCTTAATACATGTCACATCTTATAGCTTTCCAAAGGTATTTTATGTGTGTCATTGTGCGAATGATGATTTGGGGAGTGTGTTCTGCAGGTGAAATGTTCTGTATGTATGACTCACAATTTCTGTCAGTTGTACTGTATGTATCTTGAATGTTCCTTTAAATGGTTGTTGATTGCTATACTTTTGTGTTTTTGGACACCAGTGATGACTGTTGATGTGTGATTGGTGTCTTCAGTGACTCACTGGTTTCTACCACCTCCGTGTGGTTGTGATGACATGGAAGAGGGATGTCCACGCTGGAACCCAGGAGGAGCTCACTCAACCTGTCAACTGTAGGCATAGACACAAACACACCCATTTAATCAATTCAACTTACTCTAAGTAAGACAATATAATAAAATAGTAACACCATTATTTGTCAAGTGTGTCATCAAAGTGATATTTTGTCTACTTTTAATGTACAAGACATGTTAATTACTTTAGACTTTAGAGTGTTAGCATGCTTTAGAAGTACAAAACAGAAAGTACTACGAATGACTATGACCATGACTAGAGACACCTGAGTAGATGTCAGTTTGCATAAAGTTTATCAGTTTGAACATTAAGGGCCCTATTTAGATGGTCTAAAGTGGACGGCGGAGGGCGCATAATCCATGTCGCAAGTGTCATTGCTATTTAGATGCTGGCTCAGTTGTCATTTTCACGCCCTGCGCCCTCGTCGTCTAACTAGCAAATGAACTTGCGCTTCTCTGGGTGTGTTTGTCTAAAAATGAGGAGTGGTCAGGCGCAGTCATGGCGCGTTGCTAGTTAGATGACGTAAAAAGCAAATGCGCCATGACCAACAAAAACCAGTAGCAGGCGCAGTATTTCGTTGTTAAACAAGTTAGTAATATGCGTATCTAGGCGGGTGCACAACGCGCGTGCACTCTGCTCAGACACACACAGAGCAGCCACACATATGCAAAAGATAACAAATAAAAATATGATTACAATTTGAAAGGTTATTATTGTGCACAATAAAATATTTATCAGAAACACGTCTTAATGGTCAGTCATTAATCAGAATGATCTAATCGCAGTAATAATGACCATCATAATCTGGGAGGTCCAAACTCGCAGTGTCCGAATATACGGAACTGCGAGCAGACCTCCACGGGCTGATGATGCATAGCCTGTAAAATGAACTTGTCTTTCCCAATTGAATTGTGATCATTTTGGCATGTAAATCACAAAATCAAAGATGTGAAAACTTTTCATAAACTTTATTTTGACATAAACACAACAATAACCAGCTTCTGTGAACTAAAAACGTAAACTTATAGCCCTACAAGTACAAATGTATATGTTAAAAAAAAAAAAGAAGCTTTTAGAACGTAAAACTGAAGATCATCTTGTCAGGAGAAGGAGGATGACCCCAGCTCCGCAGCCAGCATGCAGCCAGACCAGACGGGCCCGGGTGCAGCCACGGGACCAGCCCTTCCTGCACCTTCAGGCCGGGGGGTTCAGGATGCTGGAGAGGGAGCTCGGCTCTCTAACCTCCCGGGTTAAAATAAAATACATTGAATAATTTACAATTTGTTGACAGCGTTTCTCTTGTGTGCGCATGCTCTCTCTTTCTCTCTCGCAGTCTCACTCTGTTTCTTTTCTTTTGACTTTTCTAAGATGACAGATGCTGAATATATACTCCCTGTCTGATGCTGTGGCTGTTGGAGGCTGGCTGAGTGGGATGTGAACTTATTAGTTTGCAGCTGTGTTAGTTTGCAGCTGTGTTAATCAAATCAGGTTGGGTTTCCATTATGCGTGCCAAACGGTGCCAATCCCCTTTGATCTGACATCAGATGTGACGGGACAGTCGATATAGAGATACATTTATCGTCTCCTCAGCTGTAAAACGCTCACTCTTTCCAGTTGGTAGGTCTGCCATCTAACTAGCTCTCTGCCGTGCACTCCAATCGTGCCTCTTTTAAAGGGAATGAGAGGTGACACTTATTGAATGATATGCCCAAAACACACCCATGACTAATTCACAGAGTAAGTTCAACCCTTTTAGACTCTCCGCCATGGCGCACAGTCTGAAAAAGCGCTGTCTAACTAGCAAGTGACTGGGACACGCCCATGCGCTGCACGCCTGGCGCTTTGCGTTTTAGACCATCTAAATAGGGCCCTAAATATCTTGTCTTTGTAACACATTCAATTAAACATGTCAAAAAGGATTTAGTTTAGTTTAGTTTCGTTTCTTTAGTTTATAAAGGACAATATGCACTTACATTACTCATTCATAAGAATAAACGATATGTGCACCAGATTTAGCAGAGATGCTAATCATTGCATTCTGTTTTTAATTTACATTTTACACAGCATCCCAACTTTTTTGGAACATTTGCATCAAATTCAGAATGATTGTATATTTACAAAAAATAATAACATTTATCAGTTTGAACATTAAATACCTTGTCTTTGTACAGTAGTTGCAAATTATTGCATTCGGAATTTATTTACGTTTTGAACAGTGTCCTGTTTTTTTGGAATTGGGGTTCTAATTTAATCCTCTAATATTTAGTATTAGTAGGCTTATAATTGAATTAACTACACTAAACAAGATCCCCCATTTCATTATCTTTCAAAATCTCTGCTAGCTCGACATCCTGAATATAGTTTAAGAAATCTTATCAAGGGACTTTTTGAACAGACAGAAAAAGACTTTTCAAAGTGGTCAAATCTCCCTATTTCACTCAGTGGACGAATAAATGCACTAAGAATGAACACCCTTTCTAAGGGTTTAAGGACCTGGATAAAATAATTTCCAATTTTATCTGGCACTAGAAGCCCCCTCCAAATAAGGAAAGATTTCTTACGAAGACCCAGGGCAGGGAGGGATGGATTCTACCTCATTTGCGATCTCTGTGCGCTCTCCTTCTGGCTCCAAGATCAGATGCCTTTCTGGGTCTTTTTTGAAAGAAAGAGTTGCTCCCCAACTTCTTTATTAGCCATACTCTATTTGTCTTCATCTTCCTCACACTCATATTCTACAAATAACCCAATAGTTTCACACTCACGTAAAATTTGGACTGTGGTTAGGAAAAATTTGGGGTGGAATTCTGACTCTACTGGCTCTTTTGGTTGCTTATCACTCTTTCACTCCATCTCTTACTGATGCAGAGTTTTGACTGTAAAAAAGGCATTCATTCCTTCAAGGATCTTTTTATTGATGGTATATTCTCATCATTTCAGCAGGTACAAATTAAATTTGGCATACCACATACTCATTTTTTCAGATATTTACAGGTACGTAACTGTCAAGCAAAACAAGTTGGCCAATTGAATCTATATTTTTGTTAAATCCACTGATCAAAGGTGGCACCTCTGAAATTTATAATGCACTTTCATGTTTAGATTGCACCGCCTCCCCAGATTATTTAAAAGTAGCCTGGGCAAATGATTTGGGGGTTGCTATTTTGGAAGACTTATGGACAAAAGCCTAATTACTGGTACATTGTTCTTCAGTTTGTGCTAGACATGGACTTTTGCAATTTAAAATATTGCATAGACTTCGCCTATCTGGGTAGACCTTTGAGTCCTGATCCACTGACTATTTTATTTACTCTACATTTTTTTATTATTTCAAATAGAATGATTAATAGAACTATGACTTTTATCTCTAAATATCATATTTTGCAAACTTGTGCCTTTTTCGATACATGTATGGCAACTTGTCCTTTAAAGTATCTTTTATTTTTGACTTGTTGAATATTTTCTATATTTTTGTATCAGAAAAGACAAAGAAAAGTCTGCACACTTTAGCTCCCTTTAGGTGCATTTATTCCACCAACCTGGAGTGACGTTTCGGGCCACAGGTGCCCTTCTTCAGACTGAGAAATACAGCTGTAGGACGCCATTTTTAAAGCTCCAAACAGGTCATATGACCAATAAGACCATGGCAATACAAAATAGAAAAAAAATATATAACACTATACACAGCACAAAAGAAACAAACATCAGGCTGTGAGGCCATACTCAGTTGGCTAAATGTATAGAGGCGCCTCTATGCAATATTCGATATTTAGGATGACAGAAAGATGCATTTTTTAATAAACCAAGTTATTATGTTTAGTACATCAATTTTTTATTATTATGTTTTTTTTTTATATATAAACATTTTTTTTTACCACCATTTCAGTGTCAATAACCCTGGGAAAGAACACAGTCAGTCATGTACACACACACACACACACACATATGTATATATACAGTACAGGCCAAAAGTTTGGACACACCTTCTCATTCAATGCGTTTTCTTTATTTTCATGACTATTTACATTGTAGATTCTCACTGAAGGCATCAAAACTATGAATGAACACGTGTAGAGTTATGTACTTAACAAAAAAAGGTTAAATAACTGAAAACATGTTTTATATTCTAGTTTCTTCAAAATAGCCACCCTTTGCTCTGATTACTGCTTTGCACACTCTTGGCATTCTCTCTATGAGCTTCAAGAGGTAGTCACCTGAAATGGTTTTCCAACAGTCTTGAAGGAGTTCCCAGAGGTGTTTAGCACTTGTTGGCCCCTTTGCCTTCACTCTGCGGTCCAGCTCACCCCAAACCATCTCGATTGGGTTCAGGTCCTGTGACTGTGGAGGCCAGGTCATCTGCCGCAGCGCTCCATCACTCTCCTTCTTGGTCAAATAGCCCTTACACAGCCTGGAGGTGTGTTTGGGGTCATTGTCCTGTTGAAAAATAAATGATTGTCCAACTAAACGCAAACCGGATGGGATGGCATGTCGCTGCAGGATGCTGTGGTAGCCATGCTGGTTCAGTGTGCCTTCAATTTTGAATAAATCCCCAACAGTGTCACCAGCAAAACACCCCCACACCATCACACCTCCTCCTCCATGCTTCACAGTGGGAACCAGGCATGTGGAATCCATCCGTTCACCTTTTCTGCGTCTCACAAAGACACGGCGGTTGGAACCAAAGATCTCAAATTTGGACTCATCAGACCAAAGCACAGATTTCCACTGGTCTAATGTCCATTCCTTGTGTTTCTTGGCCCAAACAAATCTCTTCTGCTTGTTGCCTCTCCTTAGCAGTGGTTTCCTAGCAGCTATTTGACCATGAAGGCCTGATTGGCGCAGTCTCCTCTTAACAGTTGTTCTAGAGATGGGTCTGCTGCTAGAACTCTGTGTGGCATTCATCTGGTCTCTGATCTGAGCTGCTGTTAACTTGCGATTTCTGAGGCTGGTGACTCGGATGAACTTATCCTCAGAAGCAGAGGTGACTCTTGGTCTTCCTTTCCTGGGTCGGTCCTCATGTGTGCCAGTTTCGTTGTAGCTCTTGATGGTTTTTGCGACTCCACTTGGGGAAACATTTAAAGTTTTTGCAATTTTCCGGACTGACTGACCTTCATTTCTTAAAGTAATGATGGCCACTCGTTTTTCTTTAGTTAGCTGATTGGTTCTTGCCATAATATGAATTTTAACAGTTGTCCAATAGGGCTGTCGGCTGTGTATTAACCTGACTTCTGCACAACACAACTGATGGTCCCAACCCCATTGATAAAGCAAGAAATTCCACTAATTAACCCTGATAAGGCACACCTGTGAAGTGGAAACCATTTCAGGTGACTACCTCTTGAAGCTCATGGAGAGAATGCCAAGAGTGTGCAAAGCAGTAATCAGAGCAAAGGGTGGCTATTTTGAAGAAACTAGAATATAAAACATGTTTTCAGTTATTTCACCTTTTTTTGTTAAGTACATAACTCCACATGTGTTCATTCATAGTTTTGATGCCTTCAGTGAGAATCTACAATGTAAACAGTCATGAAAATAAAGAAAACGCATTGAATGAGAAGGTGTGTCCAAACTTTTGGCCTGTACTGTATATATATATATATATATAAACACACATAGTACACTGGAGGACACAGAATATAGAATAATTCTAATTATTTTTTGTTTGGTACTGACTTCTATCTCCAGGTGTCTGGGGTTGCGATGGGATCAAAAATGTCACCCAGCTTTGCTTCTCTCTACGTTGGACTCTATGAACATGAGGCGATTTTCAATCCTGAACTCAACCCTTTCTTACACCACATATCTCACTGGAAACAGTATCTTGATGACATCTTTTTTGTTTGGATAGGTACGGACACACAACTGATGGAATTTCACAATTTCATGAACAACAAAAGTTCTGTTCAAGCTGCACGTGATTGGTCAATATGTGTGGTGTCGTCTGTGTGTCCACGGTGAGCAGAGGGGGGAGGGGCGGGGGTTACAGACACACATAGCACAGTGAGCACATGAACAGGAGGGAGGGAGACAGAGAGAGAAAGAGAGCAGGCGCTACAGAGAGAGACAACATGCTGGAAAGGTAAAAAAGTTGAGAAAATGAATACAGCAGGAAAAGTGGTAAAATTCGGAATCATTTCAATTACATTGACAAAACAAGGGCAGAGTGTAGAGTCTGCAAGATTAAAATCTCATATCCAAACAACCTGCACAGGCACATGAGAACTGTTCATCCATCAGTGCAATTGGAAGAAAAAAGACAAGCAAGCGAACCTGCTATTAATGAAGGTGCCAGTGTGTCTACTGCAACTGCTGCTGCAGCTTTAGTTATATTCTGTTGTGTGATTCTGTGAACTTCTCTATGTTGTTTCACTGTAAATAGTTACAAGTTTAGGATAGTTAAGTGTTTAATAGTAAAAAGCTAAAAGTTTAAAATAGTTAAAAGTTTTTTTTATACTTTATAATTTATTACTCTGTAGAGTATATAAAGCCATATAAATAACAAACATTTGATATAATGTTTTTTTTTATATTAGTAATTTATTTTACATTATTGTTGATAATAAATTAATTTAAGCAACAAAAATCTGAGGAGCCACTTGGGAACTGAAAGAGACGGCTCTTTCTAGTGAGCCGAGCCAAAAGAACCAGCTCTCTAAAAAGAGCCGGAATTCCCATCACTACAAGGAGGAGTGGATCAACAGTGCTGCCACTAGCTTTGACACTATCTCCCAAACTGAATGCCTTAACACTGTAAGGACAAAGAAATCTGAAACAAAAATTGCTTGTTGCATCCAATACTTACCCGTGGGGAAGGAGATTGAGAAAAGCATCAAACAACACTGGCACATTCTCAACACGGACCCTTCATTACAGGGCAGCTTCAAAGACCCCCCTCGAGTGGTTTATAAAAGACCCCCCAACCTCCACAACATGCTGGTGAAGTCGGACCGACCCCCCTTGGCCCCCTCACATTTTCTCACTCAGCTCCGTCCTGGAAACTACCATTGCGGAAACTGTCAACAATGCAACTCCACATACAAAACACACACCTTTAACCATCCTACTCAGGAAAAAAGTTCTTTATTAAAGGCATCATCTCCTGCAAAACAAAAAATGTCATATACATGTTACAGTGCCCCTGTGGTCTATCATATATTGGAAAAACAACAAGACCTTTAAAAACCAGGATCACAGAACACCGGTGCGCCATCCGCAATCATGACCCCTCTAGCCCAGTTGCAGTTCATTTCACACAGGCCAGACACAGTCTGTCTTCACTCAGGTACATTGGCATCGAGACTGTGAAATGCCCTCGGAGAGGAGGGGATGTGGACACTCTTCTCTTGAAAAGGAAACTTTACTGGATTTATACACTAAACACTCTGTCACCTAAGGGTCTCAATGAGGACTTCAACATTAAACCCTTTTTGCGACTATTAACTATGTGAGCTTCTGGACTTAAATTGGACTCATGTTGTTCGTGTGAGCGTTGGACTCTGAGTTGCTTGCAAAATATTTGGTGCTAAACTATACTTGTCTGTACTGCTATATTCTATATTCTGTGTCCTCCAGTGTACTATGTGTGTTTATATATATATATATATATGTACATGCCTGACCGTGTTCTTTCCCAAGGTTATTGACAATGAAAAGGTGGTAAAAAAAATGTTTATTAAAAAAAAAAAGATTTGATGTACTAAACATAATAACTTGTTTTTTAAAAAAAATTATCTTTCTATCATCCTAAATATCAAATATTGCATAGAGGCACCTCTATACATTTAGCCAACTGAGTATGATGGCCTCACAGCCTGATGTTTGTTTCTTTTGTGCTGTGTATAGTGTTATATATTTTTTTCTATTTTGTATTGTCACGGTCTTATTGGCCATGTGACCTGTTTGGAGCTTTAAAAATGGCATCCTACAGCTGTATTTCTCAGTCTGAAGAAGGGCACCTGTGGCCCGAAACGTCACTCCAGGTTGGTGGAATAAATGCACCTAAAGGGAGCTGAAGTGTGCGGACTTTTCTTTGTCTTTTCAGTTTTATTCATTTAGTCCAGCACCTTTTTCATTTTTTGGATGTGCGTGGCTGCTCTGTTTGTATTCACTGGACTATATTTTTGTATCAGAAATTCTGTTTTCACATTATACGGTTTAAATTTGACTACCCCAATAAAGAGAGTTGGAAAAAAAAGAAATCTTATCAAGTGAAAATTGCTCACTGCACTGGCAATCAAATGTGCTTGTTTCAAGCAAAATAATTCTCATATGTAAATTGTTTTTACCTAATTTTTTAATGGCTAATTTTTGCAGTGTATTGATCATACCACTATCTTAAAATATTCAAATGCCAGTGACAGGAAACATTGTTTTATATTCATACATTTAGTGAACACCCTCTTAAATTGCAGCTGATTATTTAACTGTAACTGGTCCATAGAAACATTACAAGGCCGGGATGGCCAAATCTGAACAGAACTGAAGAGTATAGTTGCAGTTTTCTGCTTCTGTTCTGGAATATAGGGATGTCATTTATGCTTGACCTGAACCGTCAAAATATGTTTAGATACTATTAAAGTGCTTTGCTATATATTTTGTAGGAAATCTGATACCTCCCTGGATTATTTTCAGTGGAAAGGGTTTGTCCACAACATTCTTATACCACACAATAATCACAGAGGCAAGGTCAGAGTAGATGGCTGCAGTAAAACAAAAGACAAACAAAAACCAACTGGTGTCTAACTGAACACAAGTGCAGTTATGTCCAGACTAACAAATAAAGTATGATGCTTTTGCCCTGAGAAGCTGGGGTTGGATGTGTACGCTACCCAACTGGCTTTGAAAACTACGAAATAACTATTTTTACTAGGAATTAACTTAGTGTCTTACCCTCAGCTGTGGCATCCAGCAGGAGTTTCTCTGCACGGGGAGCTTGGGGTGTGTCTGCCCTGAACAAGTAACGAGTGATGGGAGGTTGCAGGCCCTCCTGCCCACTTGTCACCTCTGCCAGCTCACAGAATAGAGTCACCCTCTCCTGCAGGAGCTCCAGCATTTCCCGGTCCTTCTGCTGGAGGTCAGCTGTGAGTGATGGTTGACAAGTTATAAATGGTGCATCCAAGACATGACAACAAATACTGCCTTTTTTTTTTTCAATTCAATCAATCAATCAATTTTATTTATAAAGCCCAAGATCACAAATCACAATTTGCCTCACAGGGCTTTACAGCATACGACATCCCTCTGTCCTTAGGAAAAAAAACTCCCCCAAAAAAAACCCTTTAACGGGGGGAAAAAACGGTAGAAACCTCATGAAGAGCAACTGAGGAGGGATCCCTCTTCCAGGACGGACAGACGTGCAATAGATGTCGTACAGAACAGATCAGCATAATAAATTAACAGTAACAGTAACATCTAGGGAATGCTCAACATCTATATGCTGCCACTTGACATAAATACAAATAAAACATTTATGTGCTAGATACACACACATACACACACACTACTAACACAAACAAAAACAACAATGTGCTCAAATCTGCCAGTGCATGAAAAAAAGTGATTCATTGATTACTACACAGAGACACCACAGAGTGGTGTGGCTGTTGTTGGTTTAATCCAGTGATTCTCAATGTTTTGGTTTTTTTGTGTCAAGGACCACTAAATTGATGCATATTAGGTCACAGACCTCTGATGTGATAAGATTTCACTTCAGAAACCTCCATCCGAAAAGATTTTAGTTGTTAAAATTGATTCTATAGTTGTCAACTACAGTGTTTTAAACAATGAAAATAAACAATTTCACATTTTTCTGGGGACTCCCTGAAACTCACTCAGCAACCCCTGGTTGAGAACCACTGGTTTAACCCATGGTAGATTAGTTACATCACCAATCTAAATGTTTCAATGGTTACTTGCAGTACTTAAGATTTAATATACAGTTAGAACTGAGTGCATTCTGTGGTCAAGGTACAAACAGTGTCAAACACAAAAAGAAAGTAAACATTTGTAAACATCTAAAGGAATACTCCGACGATTTGGGAGTTATGCCCTTTCTCTATCATTTTCATAGTGAGACAACATGATCGATATCTTTTTTTGTGTCTGTACGTCTGGTGGCTGGGTCTCAGTGGTTAGCATTGTGGTTTAGCTTAGCGAATACAATTGAAGTCTATAGGGGGTCAGTAGCCTACGGTAAAAGTGAACAAGTAAACGTTACAGAAACCCTCAAGCTGGCATTTCTGCACGTGCATTTAAAATAAACGTGTTTAAACATTAATTCGAAAAACGAGAGTCCTTTTTTGTTGTTTTAGAAGAAGTTTGATACACGGAACTATAGTGTGTTTACGTCCTGCGCTGTGATCCGCGGAGGGATATACCAGTGAGCAGGCACAGGCACAGACGTAGCCTATAAACAAAGCTCAGTTGTTTACTTAGCCTAACAATATCTCCGGACTATAGTAGCTGCAATGGACAACTTTGAACGTGATTTTAAAGAGTTTCTTGTAGCGGACACAGATCCATCGCTTTCAAAGTCATCTTCTAAAAAGAGTAAAAGACTCTCGTTTTTCAAATTAATGTTTAAACATGTTTGTTTTAAATGCACATTTAGAAATACCAGCTTCAGGGTTTCTGTAACGTTTATTTGTTCACTTTTACGAGTAGGCTACTGACCTCCTATGGACTTAAATTGTATTCGCTAAGCTAAGCCGCATTAGTAACCGCTGAGGGGGTCTGCCCATTGGTCCGACATCCCATTGTTCCGACCATATTAAACCCATTGTTCCGAAGTCCTGTTGTTCCAAAATCATCATGATGCCCTGTGGTTAAGGTCTGGTTAGGTTTAGGCACAAAAACCACTTGGTTAGGGTTAGGAAAAGATCATGGTGTGGGTTAAAATGAAAAAGAAAGTGGCAAACACATAAGCCGTGAGCCTGCTTCACCTCAAGCCTTTCCCAGCTGACCCAGAGCCGGTTGCGGCGCACCATCAAGGCAGAAATACGCCCGCCGGGAGCCATTCAGCACTGTGGAGAGCTCCCCACACAACCCGGACACCAGATTTAATAACAGGAGGTTATGGTGTTTCATTCTCTCCTCTCTATGAAACTTGTATCTCGACCAGTAGCCTACTTTTGTTGCGTTGCTGATCCTCTATGGTACACAAATACAGTATAGCCTAGTAAAATCATATATTGGAACAACGGGACGTCGGACTAATGAGAGGTCGGAACAATGAGAGGTCGGAACAATGCTACGGCACCCCACTGAGACCCAGCCGCTGGACGTACAGACACAGAAAAGATATCGATCATGTTGTCTCAATATGAAAATGACAGAGAAAGGGCATAACTCCCAAATCGTCGGAGTATTCCTTTAAGTCCCGTCAACTGCCAAAAAGAAAGTATGAATATTATTTTAAAACAGAATATGAATTCATAGAAACAGAAAAAATAAGTTATGATGAGGCAAAAATGCATATTTAAAAAATATGTGTGCCCATTGAAGAGACATACAGTAAAGTGCCATATGTAAATGATCCTTTGATTGAGTCATTAATGTTGTCTCCTGACCTTTGAGTCTCCTTAGATGGGCTTTGTGTTCAGTCTCAATGAGGGGGAACTCCTCTCTTGATGGGCACCTGAACACACAAAAGCACAGACCACACAAACCCTGTTATCAATGATGTAATGGATGTTTTTCTGTTTGTTTTTTGTACTTTTGGAAAAGTTTAAGGTTTATTACAACTTGGGTGTAACTCCCATAGCTCTGGTTGTTATTCCAGGTAGTGTTATTTTTTTCTTTTTCCTGTTCAAAATAGTAATGACTAATGAAGTACATGGAGCCCAGTAGAGGGTGGAGCCTTTGTGAGATGGAACATTGGTGCATGTAAGCCTGACTTCCAAATGCTGAACAACATGCCTAAATATAGTAGTAAACATTTCCAAATAATCAATCCGATATATTAAATTGAAAAACAGGTTCAAATTATGCTAATAAATTGCTGCTGTATTTATTAGGGTCCGGGCAGCTAAGCTGCCAGGACACTATTGTAATCCTAGGTATTCTTCTTTCTTCTTTCTTCTTCCAAGGAAATCATACTTCCCATGGGTGAAAACTCACCACCAGCTGTAAACTCAAGCCAATAGTCCTGATGGTGGCGCTACAGCAAGCGTCTAAAGTTCAAAACTTTGACAATTCCTAACAAATCAACCATACGTGCTACAACTTCACAACTTTCATCAAACTGTAGCCCCAATACTGAAGAAACTTTTGTACATTTAAACCTATCTCCTCCAACAATTTATGCTCAATTGACACCAAACTTGCTACAGAGCATCTTCAGACTGTCCTACAAAAACTACATTTCTCAGATTTTTGATTTATCAAAATTGAGCTTACAATGCATCAAAATGTTTGACTGTAAACGGTAGTGTAAACATAAACATGCAAATTCTTGTTAAATAAATCTTCAATGTTCATGAAAAAAATGACAAAATTCTAGAGTCATGGTAGATGATGTGTGGCAAATTTCGGAATTTTATCTCAAAAACTGAATTTTTGACAGCATTTTGAATTTTGCTCTAATGTGAACAATTGGAGTCAATGTGAAAATGGCAATTTTAAACATCAGTTTTTCACTTATGGTACAAATCAATCATTGTTACAAACAAATTACCAACATCTCCATGCTGTCTAGATGCAATATGTGTATTTTCAGATTTTTGTTTCGATAACTGAATTTTTTTACAGTGGTTTAAAATCTGCCTTTCCATGCTGCTTTCCTACACAACAGTGAATGGCTTACTCAATTTGTGAAGCCACTGTTGAGTTGCTACTTGCCAATTTGCTCAGAGCGGTAGATGACTGTCTTGGGTTCCAGAGGTTGCGGGTTCGAGCCTCAACTGGTGCAGAATCGACACTGTAATGTAATCATCTTCTTGTGCTCCAGCTTATTGCTTTGCTTAAAATTGCCTGAACGTGACTGATCACTGTGCAGCATCTTCAAGTCTTTTTTCTGCTAGAAAATCTGCCTTCATGAAAATAAACCAAACTTTGCACGAAGGTCCAGTGTCAGTACTTCAGTGTGAAACCATCTGAGGCTTCTCACTTTGCACATAGCTCAACTAGTGAAACATCAGTTTTTCACTTATGAAGCAAATCAATCATTGTTAAAATAAATTACCAACATCTCCATGCTGTCTAGATGCAATATGTGTATTTTCAGATTTTTGTTTCGATAACTGAATTTTTTACAGTGGTTTGAAATCTGCTTTTCTATGCATGGATGGCTGCTAAACCTGCATGTCTGGCTTAGTCAGTTTGTGAAGCTACACATGAATTGTCACTGACTAATTAGCTCAGTCAGATAGAAATTGATCCTTAGTCTCAGAGGTTGTGAGTTCAAGCCTCAGCTGATGCAAAAGGCAGATTGTGTTGCTAAATTCCTAAATGTCTTCCAATTCGTCTGCTTGTTGCTCAGAATTGCCTAAAAGTGCCTGGACCCGACCCATCGTTGCGCAGCAGCTATAATATGTCCATTACTCTTGCTTAAGGTAAATTCTGAATTTGTGTATTACCACCATTAAAGGGCCAGTGTGTAATATTTGGCATGGTTTATTGTCAAATCTGAATCTGAATCTGAATATTCTACCCATTAATATGTTTATATAAGTGTATATTCACTATAAAATAAAATTCATTTGGTTTTTGTAGCCTTATAATTATGCTTTTAAATATATACAGTACAGGCCAAAAGTTTGGACACACCTTCTCATTCAATGCGTTTTCTTTATTTTCATGGCTATTTACATTGTAGATTCTCACTGAAGGCATCAAAACTATGAATGAACACATGTGAAGTTATGTACTTAACAAAAAAAGGTGAAATAACTGAAAACATGTTTTATATTCTAGTTTCTTCAAAATAGCCACCCTTTGCTCTGATTACTGCTTTGCACACTCTTGGCATTCTCTCCATGAGCTTCAAGAGGTAGTCACCTGAA